ATATCAACATTTATTTATATGTAAATTACATTAATCTCTAATTAATATCTAATAAAACAAAAATTATCATCAGTAATGGTTTACAATATTCTTTGTCAATATTAATATATGAAAAAGTGTTCCTTATCAATTGTTTGAAAAGGTTCCCCTAGCGGGGGATGGGCCATGTTCCATATGATCTTTACACCATTAAGCACTGTTTCTACCATTATTTGATTAAATATACCATTAATCCCATAAGCAATATTTCCATATTTATATTTTAATATTATGTTTCCAAATTTGGCTGAAGATTTATTTCTATTTAATTTATTTAATATTAAGAACACCTGAATTTAAAACTGATAATTATAGCATAGCAAAGTGGATGATGATAGTGATGGAGAAAAAACTGAATATTTGCTTAGTGAACACACCTGTTGGATATGATCACTGTTTGGCTCAGCCCGCCTGCCTACCCTACCCAAGACTCCAGACCCAAGGAGAGCTGCAGCAGTAGGCAGGCTACTACTGCGAATACCAAATGGGAGGCCTGAAGACTCAGCAGAGGTGCCTGCTTGCTGGGCCTGTGGGTTTTTCTCTTTCTCGCATTCTTCTCGAACTCGTGACTCTCCACGTAGAATATGGCACAAGATTGCAAGCATACTTTCCGACATACGTCCTCCATAAGTCTTAAGGGGCTTGCGATTCCATAAGTTCATTACAGCATTATATGCTAACTAACAAATAAAGAGATAATTTGTTATGTCTACTTCATTCAACTGTACCAACAATTATATAAAATCTTAACATGTATATGGTTACATTTGTCGAATTGAAATTTTTGTTTGGCTTGCATTAAATAGTATACACAGTCTTCTATCATTCTATTAGTATTTGCTAGGTAGTTGCAAAATATTTTTGTGTAAGAATCAATAAGTTGACAAAAAGAGACACTTTCGAAATTCGCCAATTGCAATAAAGAGCACAGACATGAAAGCTACTTCTTGATAAAATTTATTCTTCCATTAAAATAATTACCTCAGCTCTCCTTACTTACCTTATGAACTCTGATAAGGAACTGCACAGGACTAAATGGCACAAATGATGGTGATGTTGATTTGTTTGGTAATGTGTGAGGAGAGTCCAATACTGCTGGTGTGTTCACCATCTTTTCTACCAACATTAACCAAGCATCTAAAAACTCACCAGACCCATCTGCACAGAATATCAAAACAACAACAGTTTACAAGCTGACCTAAATGTACAAAAGTACTTATACCTGTGAATGTCTCAAGTCTTTTTTCTTTCCTCACCTGTACGTGTCTTCCCGTTGCCTCTAATTTCACCAAAAATATTCA